TAAAATTACAAGCAAATCCAGGGAAACGCCTCTGTAGCCTGAAAACAAGAACTGAAAGGTTCAGGAGGAGTTTTTACCCACAAACAGTGAGACTCCTCAATCAAAACACAAATCGGACAACATGATGGACAATTCCATACACAGTATATAATTTTCCTTTGAGTGTTATCCTTATTTTTATTTGTATTTTATTATATACATCCGTATTTATGTAAATACGTACACTATAGCTCTTAACTATTACAGCGTAATATTTTGCACGATATTATACATTTTTATTCTTTTATATAGATATTTTTTATTATAAGTCTAGTAAGAAGCACAGCGGGGGGGGGAAGAGTACTTTTTGGCCGGAAAAAACATTTCACTGTGTGTTGTACTAGTTATAACTACATGTGACAAGTAAAGAATTGAATTGAATTGAATTGAATCCCAAATGATGTGGAGCATAAAATAGACCTATAATAAACCCATATGTAATATATACATTTAGATGTACATGAAAAAAAAACTGGGAAAAGATTTTTATGTTTTGAGCCCAGATCAATATTAAATGTTTTGGATCCCATTGATCCCTAATAACAATTTCTCTTTATTAATGAACTAATTCCCCAAATTCTTCCACTGGAGGGCGCTAGAGTCTGCAAGTCTAACTTTTCTTTTTTTAGATAACATCTTTTTAGCAAAACATTTAAGTCTAAACCCTGAGCTCAGCGTTGTCACTTTGTCAGCCTCATTACATCAAATGAGTCAGAGTCAGGAAAACAATACATTAATACATTAAAGGTTATTTAATCTATTGTACAGTATTGCATTTTACATGTTATGTTATCAGAATTGAAAAAAGAAAAAAAATTCACATCACCGTTAATACTTTCACATTTAACTTAAACAACTTTTGTATGAAACACATCAATGAATAAAGTTTTTTTAATGAAACATCAAAAATCCATGTACATCATTTCAGTGCAAAAGGAAAAATCAAACACTAAGCCAAAAATAAAGATAATAAATATTTCTCTCTTATATAACAAAAATTTGAGGCACATTTACTCGAACTTCTGTCTCTTATACCTGCTCTATAAAATATCTGCAGGTACTGATGAATCAGACAGTTCCCTCAAGAAAATTATAATACCTCAGAGATGAGTTATTATAATTAACAACATATGCGCTCTCTCTTTTTAATTCTTCAGTTAATTTTTAGGGTAAAGCAAAAAAACAAAAACAAAAAAACCCCCCAAAAAACAAGTACTTCAGTCTTCAGTGTGAAACACTGTCATAGCTCAGAGGAGTAAAAAACTACTCTCAACTGTAATAGCTGCACAAGGAAAAACAAACAAAAACATAAATAAAGCAGTTCAATGAAAATAAATAAATAAATAAATCAGAATATGCCCTGTAATTTGGCATTTAATCTTCTCACATCCTATTATATATTCTGACTTTAAGAAAAATGAGAACAAAGTGCAGAAAGCTCCCACCAGCTGGTCCTGCTGCCCGCCTCGCTCCGCTCTCAGTTTCTGAACCTGTAGGAGATGGGCAGCAGCTTGTGAGTCTTCTTCATGGTCTGGACTTTGGCGTGCGTCTCGTCATCCATCGTCTTGTAGCACCTCCGGGCGTAATCCAACAGCTTCTCCTTCGACGCCTCAAACTCTCCGACTTCTGACACCTGCAGGAAATGTTGGACTGTTCACGGATTCTAAAATAATTTCAGTTTTATAATATGCAAACAGAAGCTCTATGCAGTTATTCCTATCAAGTTTTCTTATTTTTAGAGAATCCTACATGCAAAGAATTATTTCAACACTAGAAACTTTAATGGAAACGTCCCCTTGAGTCTAAGCGCTTTACTTGGAAAGTGTGATAAACTTAGAGTGAATCATTGGAGTTCCTTAAAATGTAGACTTTAAAAAAGAAATAGTGGAAATTCACAGATACAATACAGATTGCAAATTATTTTTATTTTTCTTCAAATTACTTAGTTGAAAGAACAGCTCAATAAAACAGGAAATCAGAGGAGTCCTCACCTTCTCTGGAGCCACCAGCAGCAGCTCAGCGATGGGGGAGGTGGAGGCCATGGTGTTTCGGTCGACTCCGTGGATCTGGAAGGCTCTGGACATGCTCCTCACCCGCTGGTAGGTGGACAGGATCTTCTTGTAACGGATCAAAACCCCGTCTGGGTCTTTAACTGATGGAAGGAACATAAAATGCTGAGTGAAGTAAGTGTGTCATAGACAGGAGGCTGAGGCTCCAGCACAGTGTTGTTGTAGCGTTTTTGTTTCCTGCTGATTCAGAATGAGGAGTTTCTAATAACGACTTCTTAGCTGGGGTTAGAAATGCAAGTCGAGCCCATATTATGTATATTTGACAACATGGGGGAATTTGGATAAGAATGTTTTTGGGATTAAAAACAGAGTTCTGGATTTTAACACGACTTTTGTTTTTTAAACTTTTCACATCAGAACCAAAACAGGATTTATCTGAATTATAGTTATATTACATCATGTCTTCTGTCACATGACTCTCACCTCTCTGTCGTTCCCTCCCGTGTGTGATCCTGAAGACCCTCCTCATCTTCATCCTTGGCTCTCCACTGACCCGCCCTCTGCCCTTCTTCCTAATCCCCTTCTCTACTGAAGAGTCCACATCTTCCTCCTCTTCCTCCTCTTCTTCTTCTTCCTCCACATACTCGTCCTCGGTGTAGTATTTGTCTTCTTCCACATGAAACTCCTGCTTGGTTACAGCTACAAAAACCCCAACAAAACAAAAACATGACAAAAAGACTTCTCTACTTTAAAGTTAAGCATTTAGAACATATTCATTTACATACGTGTGTCAGCATCTTCCTCACCAGCGTTGCGGCGGCTCCGAGATCCTGATCCCTGGATGCGTTTGAGGGTCATCCCGGACCTGGTGGTCATGGGGGACGGAGGGGAAGGAGAGCTGGCAGGCTGGATCTTCACACCACGCTGGGCATCCCCGCTCCACTCTATAATTGGGAAAACACAAAATCAAATGCTTTTTTATTTCTGAAAACTTTAAATGGGGTGAGAGTCAACGAGCCTGACCCTCAGGACTCCTCATGCTGACGATGAAGCGGTCCAGCTGGCAGCGCAGGAAGTTGCGTTCCTCCTCGAGCTCCTCGATGCGCTTCTGCAGCCAGGCGTTCTTCTCCAGAGTGACGTAGAGGTGAGCGCGCAGGTTAGAGATCAGGATGAAGGTGCTGTACTGAGAGTGAGGAGGCTCCTGCACCACTGGCTCTGCAGGAGGAGGAAGACGAGGGAAAAGACGGGAAAGAATGAATACATACATACATACATATCTCAAGTTAACAGTTTATGAATACGTATTATACCAGGAAGCCAAAAAATACATGTTTTGTCGAAATGTTTTTGGACAGTGACATGTTTGTAGTTTTGCTTCTATAAACCAGCACCATGTGTTTAAAATCAAACAATCGGGATGTGATTGAAGCTGTTCTTTCTAGTTTTTGGTCAAAGAATTTAACAAAAGCATCAACTGTTTGGGAATTACAAACATTTTCAGTGACATACCATCCATCATCTGCTGGCCTTGGTTCAGGTGATAGGGAGGAGGTCGTTCTATATTCTCCTCCAGGGGAAAGGAGACCTCGTAGGCATTTAGATATAAACCTCCTCCTCCTCCTCCTCCTCCTGCTGCTGATGAAGATGATGCTGCAGCTGCTAATGATGACTGGGGCATGTAGTGCTCTGACATAAAAAAAGAAAAGAGGAAAAAACTCAAAAACAGTAACTAATAAACCTGAAGTCTGTGAAAAATGTTTCCATCTTGCCTTTAATAAATATTATCAGTGTGAACATTTTAATATGTTAGGTGACATTCCACACAACAAGAGTGTGTCTCTCTGTCTACCATCTATTGTTTCATACACAAACACTAAGTTCACACTGAGGCCTTAGTGCTGAACCTACAGGCATATATATATATATATATATACACACACACACACACACACACACACACACACACACAATTATTGTTATTATTGGGCCACATTAGTAATAATTCTGTGGTTTCAACGTTCAGCCACAACTTTATTTTCTCTTGCTCATCCCCAAAGGTTGTGCTTTATTTAGGAAATGCTCTCAATTAAAAAGTCATTTTTATAGAAATTAATAAATTCAGTTTTTCAAAATCCCGAGTCAAAGCATAATACAAAAATAAGTAGCAGTGACAGAATTTTGCTATAATTGATAAACTCATACCTTTTCCTTTTAGCTTTACTAGCTTAACGTCCTACCCAAATTCAAAGACATAATATTTATAAAATATATATATATATAATAATATGAAACAAAATAACGAAGCGAAAGTTTACGTTTTAAAAAGAGACTCTTATGGTTGACGAATGCAGATTAATTACTGCTTATCAGTCGCTTGTTAAGGTTAATAAACCAACAACTCACCGAGGTTACTCGCATAGCCTGGTAGCCCGCTTACGCTTTAGAAAAACGGCGTGAAAGCCCAAAGAGTGAAACGAAAAGAAGGAAGCAGAGCATCAATAAAACAGTCATTACAGAAAACTAGCAAACAAACAAGAACCGTGTATTTAAAAGTAAAAGTGATGTCAGGACACAAAAGGGCAGCCAGCACTGCTTCTCAGGAATGTTTGTGATCAGGTTTTAGCTGCGTTAAAGCTAAAGGCGAGTCCACTTTTCATTCTTTTAACATGTGCAGGGAAGAAAAAGAAAGAGTGCGTTTGGAGAAGGTGTAAAAGTTTAAATGTCTGACTCCTGGCGCTCGTACGCCTGCTGTGGGTGAGTGGATGGGCCGCATGTTGTTACCTGGTGGGCTTGCATCCTCTCTGCTGGTGGAAGGATTCATGGCTGAGAGGTCTGCCGGGCAGCAGCTACAGAGCGGTAATAAACCGCGTGTTTGGATAAACCTGTTATTATTTGTCTCCAGTAGTTCTGTGCGCAGTTATACTTCAGTAATATGACCTGAAACCAGCCACACCTGCGGCCCTACAGCCCGCCTCGCACACTCCCGGTGGCAATTACCTGATTATACTGGCGGGAACAGGTGTACCGCGCGCAGATTTAGTTGTTTCACACATGCGCAGAGGGGCGGTGTTTTTTTTTTTGTTTTTTTTTACCCCCTAAAAGATTTCATTCAAATTAAAAGAAATATCTAAAAAGTGTTAAAAGAGACCCTTATTATTCTTTATTAATCAATAAAACACTCACATTAAATAAATACAGTGAAACTATAACAATAAAAAGTGCGTTTTAAAAATAAATTTCTTTGCGTTTATGAAGCTGTGAAATGCCAAGAAGCAAAGGAAAAGAAAAAGAAGAAGAGGGTGAAATCCGGACCGGAAACGTGTCACCAGAAGGGCGTGGTGGCTGCAGGTGAGTAAGAGCGCAGATCAAGCCGGAAGTGAAGAACACGGTGGAGAGAACAAACCCGTCTACGGAGGCGTTGTTTTTTATAACTTAACGGACAACAGCAGCACGTGAGTCAAATTTTATGTGTGAAAGAAAGTCTTTAAATTAACTTTAGTTCATAATCCAGGAGAACATTGTTATGTTCTCCTGTTACAAACCAGGCAGAAACAGCTCTGGGTCTAGTTGACCGCTTGCAAAAAGATTGAATCCTCCTGTCAAACACAGTGACGCCGTACTCCTTTGTGTACAGTGTACTCTTTACCGGCTTCAGTTAGTTCAAAATGCAGCTGTGTGTCTGCGTTACTGACTGTGAAGCACTATGGTTAACTTTATTGTTTTTAATATTTGCTATATCAATAAATTTTGGTTTGATTTGATATGTTTGGTATAGTCTTATAAGGGTCTCACACAGGCAGCTTTCACATAAATCAACCCTCTTATGATGAGCAGGCAATTCAAATTTGGGATAAGAAGCTGATAACATTACACTGTTTCCATAGTCTTAAGAAATTAAACATGTAAAGTTTTGTATTTTATTACATTTGCCGATCTTAGATTACTTTGCAGATGCTCACACAATCAGTGACTAACACAGTAACCTCGTGGTTCCTCTTAAGGCTTTTGGTTCAGTAACATGGAGCATCTATGGAAGCTGCAGGTTGTCATCGGAGACGTGGATTTTCTTACCTCCAGAACTTAAACTGCCCCTAACAGGGATCATCTTGAAACTAAACTGAGACAGTTTTTAAAGCAGACTCAGTCACGAATCATGTATAACCTACTGCTTCTGGTTCTGTGGTACATTATTATATTGCAGCTAGTGTCATCTTTCTGCCTGAAAGACACTGTTCTAGTAGAAAGTTTCAGGTCCCTACTGTCCCTAGCTTTCTAATGAAGGAAAACAGTTTTGTTTTGTCTTATAGGAAATCATCTTTGGAAGGCTATCTTAAAATATAATTATCTAGTTAACCACTTGAGCTAGAGCCTTCATATTATCTGGTACCATTATCTGGTACTCTATGATTAAGAACGCTCAGGAGTGGTGTTCAGTTTAACACAGAATCACTGATGCTCAAAATCCCTAAAATATTTGAATGTGTCATCTTTGTCAGCAGGTTTTGGAGGCCAGTTTTGCAGGTAGGAGACTGATATTGTATTTACAGCTTCTCATAGACCAGGATCATAAATTTCTTTCAGAGACCAAATCAGGAAAGCAGTCCCTCCTTCTTTTGACATTTCAGATTCTAGGCCTCTGTCCCATGTATTTAGCTTTAATCTAAACTCTGATCAGAATGTAAATGTCTGAATTCTGTGTATTTACAACATTTAATTTAAACATTTAATATGTTTAATTTTGTCAGTGTTAACGTGAATCATTCTTCCACTAGTACATGTGGAAGCATCAGTGATCCTGTAGCGGGTTTAGTTCACCTGTGGTTCTGTCAGATTGTAACAGTCTTTCCTCTCCTCCTCCCTCCCAGCTCAATAATGGGCGAATATACTGGGTTGTCCCACTGTAAACTGGCTCTGGCGTTTGCCGTGTTTATGGATGTAGTGGGTGGAGCCGCTCTGCTGGTGGGGGTCTTCGCCAATCTGAAGATCCAAGACAGGGACCTTGGAGACGTGTTGGTCTACTCTGGTATGCTTGTGTGGCTTAATCAAAAACAGAAGTGGGTTGACATTAAACAGAAGTGACGAGTCAACTGGAGCGTGAATTAGAATAGAATAGAATAGAATTCAACTTTATTGTCATTGCACATGCACAGGTACAGGGCAACGAAATGCAGTTTGCATCCATCCAGAAGTGCTTTAGTGATATAGATATATTACAATATATATTAGCAATAATATAGATATGTGAGTATATTACAGAAATGGGTCTTAATTATTAGAATTAATATAAACTCACAGTCATAGCAGCATATACATTAATGCACAAGCAGAGGAAGGAATTTTGCACATCTCTGTGAACTTTAAAGCATCAAAATTAGCTCTCTGCAAAAGTTATTATAACTTCAGGTACTCAGTGAATAGCTGTCTGCATATTTGTAGCTGTACACACACACACACACACACACACACACACACACACACCTCCTCTGCACCCGCTAGCTAAAAAGCTAGTACTCTGACAATGGTGCCAAACAGGGAGCTGATGCTGGAGGCAGACAATTTCAAGAGAGGTGGGAGAGAGACTGCCATGTCTCCATTTACCTTCAGGGAACAGACAAAATGTGATTCTCTGAGCCAAATCTCAAAGTGATGGAGCTTCAAAAGCAGATTTCTCACGGCAGTGAAAATAGTCGAGTCAGCTGTTTTCAGAATAACTGCAAAGTTTATTTGCAGATTCTTTCCTGGCTGGAAGCTGGGCTGCAATATCCACTCATCCATTCATGCATCCGCCAAAATGTGCCAGCCAACTGCATATCTGACACCAATGATGTAATTACCATTTCCTGGTGATTTGTGATTTTGTCCAGGTGGTCTTAACCATGCAAACTATGTAAATATCAGTTATGTGGAATATCAGACAATATCAAAGGCTAAACTGCAACAAAGTCAAACAAATGCCAGACTCTACAAATATGAAACAGCATTTGAACTTTTACTGTGCAGTAGAAGTACAGAGCACAAGAAAGGAGTAGAGTGACCTTTATGATAGAACTGCAACAAAATAGATGAGGAGATAAAATGTTACACAAAAACATGAGAAAACTTGTGGGTGGAAATCAACTATTACAGAAAAAGGCTTAAAACGACACGTGCTCCACATCTTTTTTTATTATTTTTATTAAGGAGATAATCTTTGCTCCTTTCTCAAAACTAGATCATTAAATGGGCTGGGGTTGTAATTGTTCTGTTTAGATGAATTTCTATGACCTAGTAATAAAAAAAATGATGAATCTGTGTCCTCTGCTCAGGAGCCCTGTTTTTACTCGTGTCTCTGGCCGGATGGGTGTTGTGGTACAGCGGAAACATCGAGGGCCTGTCACTTGCAGATGACAAGAAGCAGGGACACATCAGCTACGCCGTCGACCGCATCGCCCGAACCCTCAGCCGCAAGATACGCTCGCACAGATACCGCAGCTGAGCAGGAAGTCCCTTTCATTTTAAAAGCCTTTTGATGGTGTTCAGTGTTAATGAGAAACAGATGCTGAATCAAACTGTTTGTGTGTGAAAGTGTTACAGACCTCTCCAAAAGATTTCAGAGTGTTACAAAGCTGAAGCGTTTGCCTTATTATGACCAGTATTCTTCTTTTTTATATATATCATCTGACTGTTGTTTAACAGAGCAGTGTTGTCTCATTGGATTTCAATAAAAAAAAAGCTCTTTATATAATTATGAAAATATGTTTTTTGTTTTATTTGATTATCAGGTTTATTTAAAAGTGACTTAAATATTTAGTTTGAAACTAAAAATGCAACAAAAATAAATGTCATATTAATATTAATACAGCAATCTGTCAATAGAGACACAACAGTAGGCAATAGCAGGACAGGTACTGCGTGCATTATGTCATTAAATGGCCTATTAATGCCATTTTATTTATGTTACAATATAACAGCTGTTAGAATTCACTATTGTATTTATTCATGGATTTACATATATAGCGAACAATACAAGACTAATATGCATATAAACCTCTGCATATGTTAGAACTGTTTGTAATTAAAATAATTTTTCAGTTGGACAACATAATGAAGAGGAAATAAAGTTGTAATGAGGTTACAGACAGGAAAGTAGTAAAACAAAGAACAACAGAGCATTCTGACAATGCACAGAAATATCGAAAATCATACCACATTGTAATATATATAAAATATTATAATATCTATTAAGCATTTTACTCAGTGGTGTTTCAGTGAGGTTTTGACCTCCCCTGTGTCATAATCATACATACAATAAAGGCTCTCTACTGCCCTCTACTGGTGAGCTGTGGGACTTAGAAACAACAATTTCCATCTACAGCCTTTATAGTATAAGAAGCTTATGGGAGTAACTTGTAAGTTAAATCATTCAGAATTTTTAATTTAGAATTAGAAAAAAATCAAACCAAGAGTTTCTAAAGTTTTATTTTTGCAGTCATTTCCAGATCATGTAACCAATATATATTTATACACAGTAAAACACATATAAACAAATGAAATGGTTAAACTGAGAATTATAAGAACAAAATAAAGTAATCTTGAATTTAATGGGACATGGTCATGTTTACTGCCGTGGAGCTTCCTGTCTTCTTTCTCGGTGTTTGGGAGAGGAATGTTATCCCACTGTTATCTGATGGAGCTGCTCAGCAATCATAGGTTTTCTTTGTTGTACTTTTCATGATGATCCAGATGTTTATTTTTTAGTTGATGAAAGGTCTGAACTCCAGGCAGGCCAGTTTAACTTTCAGCCACATGCTGCTCTAAAACTTGAATATACCTTTCAGCATTCATGGTGCTGCAAGCTGCCGATTGTATAGGCATTAATGAACCTTCATGCCATCAGACTTGCAGGCTCTTGAACTGAGCATCTTACTACCAAAAAGTTTTCTACTTTTCATCAGTTTAGCTTTGGTCAAAAAAAAAAACAGGAGCTTTTTATCCATGTTAGAGCTTTAACCTGCTCCTCAGGACTGCACAGTGAACTGTGACCTTTACAGGAGTGATTTCTGGCCTTTTCAGTTTCAGTGTTTTAGTTAACCTTAACATCCTCCATCGAAACATTAACAGATCATTAAGATAGTAGCTAGAATGGGTTTGATCTAAATGTTCAATGATCAATATTGCATGATATCTCATCAACATAAACTATATAATTTCCACTGCTTTATTAAAAAATACAGTACAGCTACTGTTCTTTTTTCATTACATCTAGATTTCCATCTTCAGGAATCAGTTACTATGAGTATGTATAAGAGTGCATGGGAGAGAATTACTTTACCTTTACTGGCCTCTGCTGGTGGAAAGTGGGAATTCCAACATCAGCAAACATTCAGTAAAGAACACAGCAGCACTAAAGCTACTGAGTGGAATATGCCTAATAATGAATCCAATTCTAGTGCAGCGTTTGGCAATGTTTCACAATTCAATATGTGAGTAATATTACTGTGGTATGTACCATCACCCAGCCCCCAAACCTGTTACAAAATATACATTATAACCAGGACCTTGAGTACAACCCTGAAATCAGCTTTCAATCCGGAGATCAAAATCTTCTTTACCTGCTGTGCGGCTTGGCCCAAGCTGAGGAATGAACTCCACCTAAGCTCACAATTACAGCAGCCCCCATAAAAAGCAAAGGAGAAACTAAAGACAGGAACTGATTCTGAAGCTTGATTCCTTATCTGGCTCACCTCTAACCTTGCTGCAGAAAATGGCAGACGTGTCTGCGCAAATAATAGATTACTCACTGGCTGCAGTCCCAGTAGCAAGTGATTAGATCAATTACGGAGCCTGGGGAGTAGCAGACAGACAGGCCAGTGACTGACCAATTACTAGTCAGTACTTTCTTAGAAGGTGGATGTCACATTTAGATATTTAAAACCAGAGCAATCACAGAAATAGTTCAAATTGTAGATAATAATAAAAAGAAACTCAAAAATTTACAAACGTGAAAGCTTGTTTCCTACATGCCAAGCTGAAGAAAGTATTTTTTAAAATCTCTTTCTTGTGTTTGCATAAGATAATTTGGTCCCACAGGATTTTAAAAAGCTCCATGTGGTGTCAATCCTTTTTTTTTTAAATTTTTTTTTTTTTTTGGGGGGGTGGAGTGCTAAATTATCAGCTAATGCTAGCAAGCTTGATCAAATTGACTCTACAGGTAACATTACTTTAATCTTTAAGTTTAAAACATTAAATAGATGTAAGAGACTAGTAGATGATGATGATGGAAAAGTCCAGTTCAGTGACTCCAGATAGTAGAAGTGACACCTACTGGCTACAGCTGTTTGTGCTGGCCCACCTACAACACAGCTCGAACTCCAGATGCAGGTGGATGTCTCCACCCATACAGTTTTTATAAATGTACAAACTATCCATAGAAGGTATCCATGCGTTTTGATTCTGTAAAGTTGGGCATTTTAACACAGCAGTCTACAGGGGTCGACTCGTTTTGTGTGCCAGCCTCAAGTGGACATTGGAGGAACTGCAGATATTTGCACTTCAGTGTTGGAAAGGAGGTGTTTAAGTATCTTGGGGTCTTGTTCACGAGTGATAGGAGAAGGGAGCCGGAGATCGACAGACGAATTGATGCAGCAGCTGCAGTGATGTGGACGCTGTACCGGTCTGTTGTGGTGAAGAGAGAGCTGAGTGTAAAAGCGAAGCTCTCAATTTACCGGTCGATCTACGTCCCTACCCTCACCTATGGTCACGAGCTGTGGGTAGTGACCGAAAGAACGAGATCCGCGAATACAAGCGGCGGAAATGGGCTTCCTCCGAAGGGTGGCTGGAAGTTCGGCCGTTCGGGAGGGGCTCAGAGTAGAGCCGCTGCTCCTCCACATCGAAAGGAGCCAGTTGAGGTGGTTCGGGTATCTGACAAGGATGCCTCCTGGGCACCTCCTGGGTGAGATTTTCCGGACTTGTCCCACCGGAAGGAGGCCCCGGGGCAGACCCAGGACACGCTGGATATCTGTCGGCTGGCCTGGGAACGCTTTGGTGTTCCCCGGATAAGCTGGAGGAGGTGGCTGGGGAGAGGGAGGTCTGGGTTTCTCTGCTTGGGCTGCTGCGCCTGTGACCCGGTCCCGGATAAGCGGAAGAAAATGGATGGATGGATGTTGGAACCCCAGACAGCGCTAAAGAGTTGGTTACTGACGCCAGTTAAATTCACATTTTGTTTGTACAAAAAATAACTCATTCCCAAAATTAAAATAAATACATTTTAAAAGGAAGGTGAGACTTTATTATTTAGAATTATATTTAATTATAAAACCTCGTTTTCACAAAATCTACCTCAGTTGTATCCAAGAAATCCATTCTAAAATAAAGAAATCTGATTCTTCTCTTTATTAAGGTTATTAGGATCCAGCTCCAGCCGGGTTCTGTTAAGACTATCTAATAAATGATCTGTTTTAGATTGAGTCTGACATGTTTTCTTAGGAAATTTGCCAGCTTGGCCTGGGTTCACCTTAGGCTGCATGCTAAGCCCCTCCTAGGTGGTAAATCAAGTGAATTAAATTTGGACTACAGCTTGAAAACTGTTTGACTCCACTTTAACCTGACACACTTATGGTTTGAAATCAGAGCTGGCCTTCAGGTCATCTGCTACAATAGCAATTATGAACATCGAAAGTTCGCAGCTCGACCTCAGTGTTCCTCTACAGCTCAGCATGGTCAGTAAACTCACTCCACTCTCAGTCTCCTATCCTGAATAACCTTACTGGTTTCTCTGTGTGAGGACAGCATTCCCTGCAGACAGTGATTATATAGCTAATAATTGGATCATGACGCAGCGAGGATGTTTTCACTGGTCTTGTTCTCACTACCTTTTCTCTGTCAGTGCTGTTTTTTAGAGTCAGACAAGACTTTATGGAGGATGTTGTGGGATGTTTTGTTGTCTGACAGTCATTAAAACGGCAACAATCTACAGTAATACGTGTATTAGTGTGTGTGTGTGTGTGTGTGTGTGTGTGTGTGTGTGCACGGAGCACTTTGAGTTTGCTTCAGCCATTGTGTTGCAGATTGGCTGCTGCACTTGTGATGATTGCCCTGAGTCATAACCTGGTAAGCTTTAGCTGCTGAACATCCATCCATCCATCCATCCATCCATCCATCCATCCATCCATCCATCCATCCATCCATCTATCCATCCATTTTCTGTCTCTTATCTGGAGCTGGGTTGCAGGGGCAGCAGCCTAAGTAGAGAAGCCCAGACCTCCCTCTCCCTGGCCACCTCCTCCATCTGCTCCAGAAAAAACTCCAACACAGAGGCAGCAAGCCGAGGGATACTAACATACCCACCAAAGACTGCTGCCTAGGTTTCTGAGCCCAAGCCATGTGTTGATGTATCTCTCAACCTCACGCACTAGCTGCTTCCCACCAGAGAGTTGACGTTCCACGTCCCAGTCACTAGTCTCGGTAGCTGTGGATCGGTTCCTGGTGGACTGATCCAGCAACTGCTGGAAAATAAATATAGTTCTGTGCATTATGGCCAAACATCTAACATAAACCATGTTAACTGAGGCCTGCACAGTCTGACACGTAGAACTCATATTTATTTTGCTGTTTCTCTGAGCATGCCCTGCCTGCCTTGCTGGGACAGCCACTCCTTGGGAACTGCTTTGAATGTTTTGGACTTCAGCTTGTTTGGAAATGGTGAAATAGCCCTTCCTATATTGATGGGCAG